ATAAAGTAAAATGACACCAATGAACGTCTACAAAAATTCTTAATTACAAAGCAAAACCATTTCCAGTTTGAATGGATGTAAGGATATAAAGTAGAACCTAGTATGAATTTTCTGACTACATATAAATTGCCAAAATTGCTTTAAATTTTTTTAGAAAAACACTTGAGTGTAAAACATCATTCTGAAAACTCCCAAGAAATTCTTAAAGCACAATAGCTACAATATTTCTAAGCAGATAAAAGTAAAACAAGTATCGAGCATCTAAACCTAAGAAATAACAATGAACAGGAAACCAGCTAAGTTAACTGGATCCTCTGGCAATACAAAAAGCTGATTATTAATTAAGATATTTTCAGCCAAAGAGCCTCTATACTTTCACAAAGATCTAAATTTTCATGATCATTTTCAGCGATTAATTATTAATGTGATATCTATGACTTCATGGATCATCTTAAACAGAACTCTCCAGAACAAATCACCTAATCTGATATCTAAACCATTTCAGTGAGTAGCAGAGTTCAGAAATAGTATCTAAACACTAGCTTAATCAGTATAATTCAACTAACGGTAACCGAAATCTAAACCATTCAGTGAACGATTACAAACTGAACAACGTGCAAAGTCAAAACCATGACCAAATCCTGAAATTCAGAAGGAGAAAAACCTGCAATAATTGGGAACAAACTCTGCAGAATTTGATCTTATCAAGGAGATGAAGGCAGAAACTCTTTAATCGTTCTTCGATTAAAGAGAAACTAAATAATTAGGATCGCTGATGAGCCTCTTGGCCTTGTGCGACCTTTTCAAACTTGGATCCGAGGCTAGAAACTCCAATCACGTTCTTCGATTCAAGAAAAGAAAATTAGAAGAGAGCAAAACCTACATCTTAAAGGACAAGGAAAGAATCAGAAAAGAAAAAAAAAACAACCAAATTAAAGAGCAAAACTAAACAAAGTAGATTCTAGAAATCTCAAGAACGCATCCGAATCCGTATTCGTAATCTTATCGATCCGATGAAAGAGAAACTAAATGATCGTCTAATTTGAAAAAAAAATACACAACATCGACACAAAAATCGCTATCGAACAGAGGAAGTGAAAGGAGTTAGATCGGAAACCTCGTGCGAAATTTTCGAACTCGATCCAAAGGCTCGAAACTCCAACCGAGAAAAAAAACCGAAGAGGAAAAAAAACCTAGGCTTGAAAAGAGAGAGAAAAACGTGAGAACAAGAAAGCTTGACGAAACCAGAAATCAAAAAAGAAAAAGAAAGAAAAAATTGGGAAGTAAACTGCACAGAATCGATTTTTGAAATTTCAAGAAGGCAACAACATCCACATTTGCAAGAAAATTACAGATATCGACAGCAGAGAGCAAACCGTTAGAATCGCAAGTTTTTAGCCTTCGACGACATTAGAAAACCAAGAGAGAGTGAAAATTTTTGAAAGAGAAAAACCCTCGACTCTGACCCTCAACTCTTCTCTTTTATACCATCTCCCTGTTTCGCCCTTCTTCTTCACGGAGAAGCTCGCCAAAAAACGGTCAGTCCGTCCGAGTAAAATATCTAATTACAGGCATACCCTTTATTTGTAAAATAATTGCAACGTTATCATAAGAAACATGATTCGTGGATACTTACGGTGGCAGAAGATGTAAATTTCCCGTACTTCAGTGGTTAATATAAAGATGGTCTTTTTTTAAACTGAAAGGGGGTCTTTATTGAAAAATAGAAACGTGAGAGTGTGTAGACAGGGGATGGCTCGTGAATATGCAAAGAGGACCTCTCAAGTTTGAATTTGGAAATGTGGCTCCTTTTTTTTCCTGAGTTTTGCTGCTTTGTGCTTAATGTTCTTTGTGCCCATAATTGGGAAGTCCATGACATTCCTTCGTTTCTCTAGCTTAGCAAGTTGATATCAGATGTTTTTCCATATTGTTAAAAGTAAAAGAGATTTATAAGCTCCAGAATTTCTCTTGTTAGAGTTTTTTTTTAATTAGTTTAGTATGAATGTATGATGTGAAGAATGATTCGCATGGATGTTAAGGAAGATATTTGTCTAATATAAATGTGCCTTGCGAATCTTATCTATGCATAGTCCATGATATTTTTATCTTACTTAAAATATGCATAAACGTTTTCTACTAAATAAATGCATCATTGCTTATTGTTACTTCTTACAACAAATATTTTATTCCATTATAATAACAATATAAATATTCTTCGTGAATGATTAAAACAGGAGTAACCTATAAGTAATTCTACGAATCCCCTAATTTAGCTTCAAGTTGAAAATTCACGGTGGACATAATCTCACTGTGCATAAACAAAATAACAAAAATATTTAAATGATTTTGACACAATTTTTACATATGGTAAGTTTATTTTTTAGAACGTCCAACATTGTTTTAGGGTAAGTAAGAATATATTTTATTATCGACGGTAAAATGTGATTGCAACTTCCCCTAACAAAAAGAGAAATTGCTTTTACAAGTGGGAACATCAATTGCATTGATTTGTTTTTACTTAGGGTTATTTGCATATGCTAAAATCATGGTTATTTGCAAAAAACTACCCTCTACATATCAATATTTGCAGACGTACACCTCAAATAATCAATTTTGAAAAAAAAATACACTCAAAGTAATTAATCATCAACTTTAATAAGCTAATTTGTAATTACAATGTAAAAGTTATCAAAATAATAATCAAAATTTAATCACCAAGTTGTTGGGGTTATATTTTAGGTTATTTTTTATCTCTTTCTTTTTGAAGAGGGAGCTATGAAATTCTTTGTGAATTTCTGTGTGTTTTCCCGAATGAACTCTGCCTCCTTATATAGCCTCATGAACCAGTAACCGATGCTGAATCTCCTCGTCCGTTGGGCGTAAATCACGCTGCCGTTACATAATAAATGCTGCCGTTACATAATAAATGCTGCCGTTACATAATAAATGCTGCCGTTACATAATAAATGCTGCCGTTACATAATAAATGCTGCCGTTACATAATAAAAAATAAAAGCTGGAGAAGCAAAACCCGAGTGCGGCGTGGCGAGGCGTGGCGTGCGTGCGCGCGCGCGTGTGTGGAGAAAGAGCTCAAACACTAGTAGGCCCAAAACATTACTCAAAGCCCATTAGGAAGTGAACCATTATAAACCACTTGAACTTCTCTTCAACTTCCAATGTGGGACTATTCACAATTGCCTTTTCCTTAAGAAAATGCTAACACAGGCTTCTTAACTCCTTGGCCATTTCGGAGTAGGAGAGGAGCCCGTCGTTGTTAGAATTGAGGTAGGCAAACCGGTCCTTTACGGAGTCGGTGAAGGCTGCTTCGTCGTCGACGAAGGCACGGATTGTTGCTCTGTCGAGAATCTCTACCGTGTTGGTGGTCAAAATATATGTCAAGGTCAAAATCCATGACTCCCAGTCTCCCACTCAATTTAAAAAGAAAAGGAAGTCAAAAATATGTTGTGTGCAAAGTCAAAATCCGGTGGATTCAGAGCCAGCGACTTCCTGCATTGAGAACAAAAGGTCGTCATCAGGAGAAAGCAAACCAACTACCGTGTGGTGTCCGAAGGTTCAATTTCTGAGTAGTTTAAGCTCAAAGTAATAGCTGTCCCATTTCACCTATTTTTTGGTTGCAACCTATAAAGAATCCATTTCTTTGCCAGAAATCCCGACTTTTCCTAGAAATAAAATAAAGTTTGCACTTAATTTATATACTAGGATGGTATATTCTGCACATATTCTACACGCTGTTCTAAACTTAAACCCCACCCATGGGTTCTGACGTTGGCCTATATTTGCACCGACCGACACGAACCCGTCCTTTTCTATGGGCGTATTAACTCCAACTCTCTACCCCCACAATGCATATTGTATAAGTAGGACTAGGTTCCCATCTCTCTTCGCCAAAAGTAAACCTCTTCATTGAGAGAAATCATTTGACTACAATATGAGCGTAGAGATTCTCGACGGTGCAACGATCCGCAACTTCATCGACGACGAAGCGGCCTTCACCGACCTGGTGAAGGACCGGTTCGCCTACCTCGACTCAAACCACGACGGCCTCCTCTCCTACTCGGAGATGGCTAAGGAACTAAAAAGCCTGAGGGTCCTCGAGACTCATTTCGGCATCGACGATGCCGGTCTTTGCCCCGAGGAGCTGGTCCAGCTCTACCGAGGCCTGTTCACTAAGTTTGACCGTGACGGTAATGGAAGCGTGGATTTAGAGGAGTTCAAGGCTGAGATGAAGGAGGTGATGATCGCGGTGGCGAATGGGATCGGATTCTTGCCTGTGCAGATGGTGGTCGAAGAGGGGAGTTTCTTGAAGAAAGCTGTGGACAGGGAGTTGGCCGGAGCGGCATGAGCTTAATCATAGTAATTACATGCGTATAAATGCGAGGTGCTTTCACTGTATTTTCTATCTTTTTTTCTTCTGTGTTTTAGATGAGGCATGAGATTACAATTAAAGAATAAAGAGTAGTATTTTTGGAAATTGAACAGGGATTTAGACTCGAATATTAGCGCAGCTTGAGTCTGAATTTGTTCTCGGGCAGTCCGAGCTTAAATGTTATTTGCTAAAATAGTCGGATCGATCCTTGGGCTTCTTATTTAATTTTGCACTTCAAGGGTGTCCTTTCTACTACACGCATTGAATTTGGATAACGGATCTTTTAGACTGTCTTCACGTCCAAGATTGTCAGTTGTCAGTTGTCAGTTTCATTTCGATATATAACAATTTAATTTTAAATAATACTTGAGGAGCTTTTTTTTTTGTCAAATTAGCTTTTAAGCAAAATTATTTCTAGCCCCCAAAATAATAACAATTGCTCCCCCCCCAAAAAAAAAAATTCAACGCTCCCGAAGCCTCCAACACTACCACATAATTGATCTATTGCAGCGGTTAAGGCGCAACGGTTTTAACTGTTGCGTTAGATATCTATCGTAACGATTTACAGTGTTTAATATAACATTTAATGAAAAACGTTGCCGTAGACCAAATAATGGCTTATGTACAAAATTGCTTCCAGAACCATTCTCTTTTCCACAAGGTTTGTGTTGGAAGTTTTGGGGTTAATTATCCTCTCCCCCACTTCTGTAATGCTAATCTTTTATTTCTTCAGGCTCTTAAAGAGGCTTTCGAAGTTTTTTGCAACAAGTCTGTTGCAGGCAGCTCAAGCGCTGAGTTGCTGGCTTCCTTCTGTGATAATATACTTAAGAAGGGTGGGAATGAGAAATTAAGCGACGAAGCCATTGAAGAGACCCTCGAGAAGGTAACTTTTGTTTACTGAATACTACGTCTCTTCTTAACTTTTGCATGTGTTTGTTTGAACTCATGCCCATGAGAAATTGAAAATTTTACAGGTGGTTAAGCTGCTTGCATATATTAGCGACAAAGATTTCTTTGCAGAATTTTATAGGTAAAAATTTCTGTGTAGAATTATCTGATGTATTACTATGCATCATAAATAATTTTTTGCTCTATTCCAGCTTTACTGTGATCTGTTTATGCACCAAAGTAGATTGATTTGCCTTTGTATTAATATACAGGAAAAAACTTGCTCGGAGGTTGCTGTTTGACAAAAGTGCAAATGATGAGCATGAAAGGAGTATATTAACAAAGCTGAAGCAGCAGTGTGGAGGGCAATTTACCTCCAAGATGAAGGGAATGGTCTGCGATTCTAACTTATGTTGTTAATTGGTGTTATTGGTTTGATTCATGATGTTTATATATACTCTTTATCCTACCAGGTTACAGATTTGACCTTGGCAAAAGAGAACCAATCCAACTTTGAGGAGTATCTTAGGGTTAGGGATAATAAAAACGTAAATCCGGGAATTGACTTAACTATTAATGTCTTGACTACTGGATTCTGGCCAACCTATAAATCTTTTGACCTCAGCCTTCCTGCGGAGATGGTAAGAAATGTTTCCAATTCAAATGAAGCAAGTATGTGCTAACTTGATCCGGCATAGAATTAACAGGATTCTTTTTGAAATTCTCTGATTTTGTTATGTAAGTTTACACTTATATTAATAAATCAATTACTTCTCTAAATTGCAGGCTCCTAGTGAGTATTTGACAGGTTCCTAGCGAAATTGGCGAAATTGGCGATTGAGGCTGACAGGTTCCTAGTGAGTGTTTGACATTGAGGCACAAGTTTTTGGAAACAAATAGAGAATATAAAGTCTTTGACCGAGAAGTTTCATGTTTTGTAATCAAATGTTGATGTTGTTTGTATATTAGTTCGGTACGATATTTTCTAAGCTGAAATGTTGGTAGTGGATTTTATACTTTGTAGTTTTTATACTATACCGATGTATGTTGGCACTTATCATTATGGTTGATTATGCTCAACATTTTCACTTTGATATTGTGTATTTAAATTTGACTTGGGCCATGTTCTTAAAAAGATTGTCTAGGTAATTGAATACTATATGATTTTGACGTAGGGAACCAAGAACAACTCAATCGGAGCCGTTGCAATAGCTCAATCAAAAACGCTGCAATAGCTCGATCAAAACTGTTGCGATAGCTCAATCCAAACTGTTGCGTTAGGTCTTTTAAAACTGTTGTAATAGCTAAAAAAACCGCTGCAGTAGCTTGAAAACCGTCACAATAGCTCAATCAAAACTGCTGCAATAGCTTAAAAACCGTCGCAATAGTTCAATCAAAACCGTTGCAATGGCTTAAAAACCGCTTGCTTTTTAAAACCGTTGCGTTAGATGCGGGGGTAACGGTTCAAAAAACCGTCGCAATAGAGTTCAAAACCGTTACGGTAGAGGTAGGGCAACGGCAGCATATGAGCCGGTTTGAGAACCGTCGCACTTGCGCAAGAGCGACGATTCCATGGCTAGCGCAACGGTTTTGAACCGTTGCGTTAAAGCAAATATGTGGTAGTGCAAAAGCAATTCTAAAATTCCTTTAGCCCCCACATGTGTACTTTAAAACATGAGAAGACCAAAATACCCACAAGCAACTGGTCCGCTCTCTTAAGCCGATCATCGAAGAAGGAGCATAAGTACTGTAGGCATTAATGGTGATTGGAAAGTGGTTTTAGAGGGAAAAAGCCCTATTTCCCTCCAAATTCTAACAATCTCCTCCCCAGTAAATCCTCTTTGTTTCTCCCAACTACTCTCTCCCGACCAAAATACCCTCAAGCAACTGTTCTCTTTTCAATTATATTTATAATAATTAATATAATTTTTAGTTAATTACAGTAACATTTTTAGTTAATTACAATTATATTTTCAGATAAATTTCTGTTAATTTCTAGATAACTATAGAAAATGCAAAATTTCATCCTAATAATTCAAATCATACAAAATTTTTAACAAATCAATTCTGAGTTGAGAATCATACCTTAGGTCTGAAATCAGTTTCCAGGAAGATCAAAGTCGGCAAAAAACCCCAATTTTTTCCCAATAAAGGCGCTGATAAAATCCAGCAAGCCACGAAATCCAGCAAAAAACCCCAAATTTTAGCAAAATCCAGCAAAACACCAACAAATAGGAGCTCCCGCAAGCCACGAGATCCCAAGATCGGACAAAATCAACAAGTTTATTCCGCGGTTGGAGGGACGAGGGGGAGAAGCGAACCAAAGCTGGGAAACGAAAACCCTAGAATGGGTTTTGTCGATGTGGAGCGGGTGTCAGGAGGAGAAAAACGTTTCCACGGCTCAAAACAGCGAACCAAACAGGCCCTACATGCATTGAATTTGGATAACGGATCTTTTAGACTGTCTTCACGTCCAAGATATGCATTGAATTTGGATAACGGATCTTTTAGACTGTCTTCACGTCCAAGATTGTCAGTTGGCAATTTCATTCGATAACAATTTAATTTTAAATAATACTTGAGGAGCTCTTTCTTTTTTTTTCTTTTGTCAAATTAGGTTTTAAGAAAAATTATTTCTAGCCCCCAAAATAATAACAATTGCTCCCCCCCCCAAATAAAAAAAAAAAGATTTTTTCAATGCTCCCGAAGCCTCCAAAAGCAATTCTAAAATTCCTTTAGCCCCAACATGTGTACTTTAAAACATGAGAAGACCAAAATACCCTCAAGCAACGGGTTCGCTCTCTTAAGCCGATCATCGAAGAAGGAGCATGAGTACTGTAGGCATTAATGGTGATTAGAAAGTGGTTTTAGAGGGAAAAAGCCCTATTTCCCTCCAAATTCTAACAATCTCCTCCCCAGTAAATCCTCTTTGTTTATCCAACTACTCTCTCCCGGCCATTTAATTATCCTCCATAAATTCTCTTTGATTCTTCAACAACTTTTCTTTAAAATGACGGATGAATCCCTCATTTGCATGGTTACAAACACAAAAAGCAAGGAAGAGGGTGAGAGTATTTTAAACTACCATTACAAACTCTTTCACTGAAATTCATATCCGAAAGGGAAAAGAAGTTTAGTTTTGCAATTGATAATGACGACGACTTGAGGTTGATGTTCGAGTATTGTCGTTGTGATGGATTTACAGACATAAACTTATATGCTACATCCGCTGAGGAATTCTCAACTTCTCAGAACACCCAAACTTCTCGAGAATATGTGTAAGCATTTCAATTTTAATTTCCTTATGAGTTCATTGTTAGGTTATGAGTTGGTTGTTAACCCTATGCATTGGTTGCAGAGGTTTTGAGTTGGTTGTTAATGTTATGAGTTGGTTGTCAATCTTGTTGGGCTCTGATACCACTTGTTGTGCGTAGCAAAAATTTCGACAGCACCTCTGGTGCACGACAAGATAGTAGATCTCAACTAAATTCTTATTTCACAAAGGAAACAAGAACCGAAAACAAAATATCTCAACAAAGTAGGATATCAGTTCTTCCTCTCATCAGTTCTAGGACTGACTTGTCGAGGGAACCTAAACCCTCTATTACAAATCACAACACGAATAATCAATTTTAACGTGGTTCGGCAAATTTCCTACGTCCATAGGGTAAGGAGTGGGAGATCTACTATTAGAGAGAAAGAGAATACAAATAGGTTTACAATCACACAAATTAAACCCTCAAATAATATCTCAAATCTCACACAAATATCTTCCTCAAAAGGATGCTCAAACCCTCTCAAAATTAGCACGAAATAAAGTCGACGGCTAAAAACCCTCTCTGCAATTTTTTTCTTTTCTTCCGTCTACACGTCGCCGCTCCTTGCACACCAATCTAGGTTTGATAACACGCTATATATATAGCTTCGGCGCTCAAATCTTTTGTGGGCTCGTGAAGAGATATCCGCTATCTCTTCACGAGGCTTCTTTCTTTTCACGCGGTTTTCACGCACGTGGTTGGCCCCATCACGTCCCATTCACAAATCTTTATGAGATAGTTATGGGTTAGTTGCTCAGGTTATGAGTTAGTTACTAAGTTTATAATTTTGTTGTTAAGATTATGAGTTGCTTGTTAATGTTATTAGTTGGTTGTTAAGGTTACCAGTTGGTTGTTAACTTTAGTAAATATTTATGAGTTTTTGTTAGTGTTTTCGTCAAAAGTTGCCTTCATCATTGATTTCATTAAAACTTCAAACGTTACAAATGAATTCAAATAACGAAAATAAAAATTACAACTTTCTTGAAAATAAACACAAGATCCGTTTATCATCTCTTGCTTGTGTGGGTCTTTAGCCTGTGACGGGGACGTCGATATCCGTGGACTACCTGGCAATCAGATCTGATCTAGAAAAAATCGGGCAGAGCTTCGTCGATCCGCGAGGAGATCTAGAAACTTGGAGCGCCTATCTCGGATAAAGCGAGATATTTGCTATTCTTAGGATTACCGACGAGGGGTAATGCTAAGGAACGGATGCGGGTGATGTAGATCTGATGAAGAACTCTCTCTTGTGTTGAAGTGCTCGATCACTCTTCACTCCAGCAGGGCTTCGCCAATTCTCCAAAAATCCAGATCCCCAAAAAGTAAGGCCTAAGGCTTCTATTTATAGGCGACACCCCTGGGGTGTCCTAAAAAATCTAGGACGCCCCTGGGGTGTCCCCAAGAATCTAGGACGCCCCTGGGGTGTCCCCAAAAATCCGAGACACTCCGTTGTAAATTCTTCGTCCGAACTCGGATTTTAGTGATTCGAATTGTGTTGGAATTCTGACGAAGAGTTCTATCAGCCCCGATGGTAGGATTATCTGTAGAACGAACGAGACACGAAAGGCATTGTTCTTTTTTTGTAAACATCGCGGGGCTCTCGATTAGCCTGTGCCTTCGTTATTCCAAAATTCTGCCAGTTCACGTAGTTCGTCGATTCACTTCAAACGTTCACCGACGTCAATTGAACTCCTGTGAACCAGATGGTGACGTTCATTATCGTTCCTTAACACTGAGCTATTCGTGGAGACCTATAGGTAATTTTCGATGCCTACAGATACCCCCTCCAAAGCGTTCCGGACTCGTTTCTTTTATAGAAGAGGCTGGAATACTTTGGATGTGATTGATCCAGCCTTCAGTCGGCGTAAAGGACCTGTAATTAGTTTCAACTCTTGGCTCCTTCGATTTTCGGTCTATTCGATGCTTTGACAAATAACCGAAGTTCTTCCGGCGCTGCGTTTATCGCTTGGCCGTCGTCGGAGTCTCAAGTCTACAGCTGATGAATTGAGTTTGGCTCGTGTCATTGAGTTGACTTTGAACTACCTTCATCACGTTGTGTTGACTTAGGGTTTTAGATCACCGTATGTTGACTTTTTGCCGCATGGCGTTGACTGGCGTTGACCTAGGGTTACGTGTTGACCGGCGTTGACCCTAGGGTTTCGAACGTCGAATGTTGACTTTTTGTCGCAACGCGTTGACTGGCGTTGACCTAGGGTTACGCGTTGACCGGCGTTGACCCTGGGGTTTCGAACGTCGAATGTTGACTTTTTGGTCGCAACGCGTTGACTGGCATTAACCTAGGGTTACGCGTTGACCGGCGTTGACCCTAGGGTTTCGAACGTCGAATGTTGACTTTTTGCCGCAACGCGTTGACTGGTGTTGACCTTGGGTTACGCGTTGACCGGCGTTGACCCTAGGGTTTCGAACGTCATACGTTGACTTTTTTTTTGGTCGCAACGCGTTGACTGGCGTTGACCTAGGGTTACGCGTTGATCGGCGTTGACCCTAGGGTTTCGAACGTCATACGTTGACTTTTTTTTTGGTCGCAACGCGTTGACTGGCGTTGACCTAGGGTTACGCGTTGACCGGCGTTAACTCTAGGGTTTCGAACGTCGAATGTTGACTTTTTGGTCGCAACTTCGGGAATTAGTTTAGCCTCGTGTACCCGTCGGAGGTTGACGGGTTATCCTTAAGAATATTATACATAATATTCTCCAGGAACTTCCCGTCCATTATGAAAAATAGTTTAGACTCGTATTCTCATTGGAGTATAAATACGAGTGTTGAATACGTCGTAAAAACATCCGAAAAGAGGTTCAAAACGCATATGAATTATCCCCGGACCCTTCCACATGCGCGAGCCCACATTTCACGGCCCACACGCGTATGAATCAACAATTTAGGTTTGGTTTCGGTTCAGACCAGTCCGGTTCAACAAAAACAAGAAAAAAAAATGTCCAATATAAAGCCGATTTACCCTTCTCCTCTTCTTTTCTTTTCTTTCTTCGGTTCCAGCAGCTAGGTTCCGCCTCCTTCTTCATTTTTTTTTTGTTTCCGGTTCCAGTAAGAATCCGCCCCCCCCAAGAGCTCTCCCTCATCAAGCTTTTAAACCCATCTTCTTCAAGGCCTTCAACCTCTTCCTCTCCAAGTCCTCATCTTCTCCAAGGGTTCAAGCAAAGGAAGTTGGGTTTGGAGGATCTTGGGTTCCATTATCAACACTTCTCCAAGCTTTGGTAAGAACCTCTCTTCATCACAACTTCAATTTGATTTCCCCTCTTTTGAAATTTTCAAAATCCAAAACCCTAATTTGTTGATTTGGTGGAAAACCGAAATTTGCATTGGGTTAGATTGTTGGCCGAAATTGGGATATGGGTTCTCTCATCTTTGATTGCAAAATATATATATAAATTTTTTTTTATGCATATATATGGCCGAAATTTTATGGGGGTTCATGTGCAAAATTTGGTGAGATTTGAGGGGTTTTTTGGCCGAATTAGGGGCTGAATTTTTGGGGGGTATATGTGCAAAAATGTGGACTGAAACTTGAAGGGGTATATGTGCAAAAATGAGGCCGAAACTTGAGGGGGTTATTTGCAAAAGAGGGCTACCATTTGAGGGGGTTATTTGCAAAAGAGCAATCCACAAAGTATAGGGGGCTTATTTGCAAAAGGGCTGGAATTTTGAGGCTTGGATGTTTGACACAATTGGCCACAACTTTGAGGTGTGCTTCATGCAAAGAGATCACAAATTGTTGAGGGTTTCAAAATTGCCCATAAATGTTTTAGAGGGACTTATTTGCAAAAAGGGCAGAAAATCCAAGGCTGAAAACCAAGAAGTTTAGACCACAAAACTACGATCAAAGTTTTGCGAAAACCAAACCGAAATTTTCTGGAGGGTTTTTTTTTTGCAAAATTGGCTAGATTTTACAAAAGGGTTTATTTGCAAGATTAACCAAAATTGTGGGGTACTGGGGGTGCTATGTGATCAGGTATGATGACCATGACCCAACTCGAGCGTGTCCTTGACCCGAATTTAGCCTTGAACACGAAGGGTGTTCTGGGTATTTCATCAAAATTTATCGCGAAAATGACAATTATTGTTTCGCATGCACGAAATTTGTAGGTTTAATTAGACTTCAACTATAAAATCATACTTATACATAGGATTTTAATTAAAGTTCTTAATTTACCTTTTAAATTTCGCGTATTCATGTTGTACCTAACTTACTGCTTTTCATTGCAGATTTTCGATGTCTCCACGTCGACCTCGACCTCCTAGGAGTCGCTCCCGTCCGCAGCCTAGCGAGGAAGAAGTTCCTACAGCATCCTCCCCTCCAGCGGCTTCCTTTTTCGGGGGTGGGAATTTTTTCTTGTTTTTGTATCCCCGATTGATCCCTTCGCGGGTCATGAAGGAAGAACCGACACCCTCCTTCGCGGGGGTCGAGGTTTCGGACTTGGTGGTTCTGTCATACCCTCGTTTGGCCCCTTCGCGGGTCATTCGGGAAGGGCCGACACCCTCCTTCGCGGGGGTCGAGGTTTCGGACTTGGTGGTTTTGTCATACCCTCGTTTGGTCCCTTCGCGGGTCATTCGGGAAGGGCCGACACCCTCCTTCGCGGGGGTCGAGGTTTTGGACTTGGTGGTTTTGTCATACCCTCGTTTGGCCCCTTCGCGGGTCATTCGGGAAGGGCCGATACCCTCCTTCGCGAGGGTTAAGGTTTCAGACTTGCCTTGCTTGTCTAATTCAAGTCTTCTGGTATATTGGGGCGATTTTGTGTCGTCCTACATCTTATAGGTCGGTGTATGTTACCACGTTATTTACGTGATGATGCATACCGTTCTTCCAGTGTAGGACACTCAAAATCGTCTCTCCAATTATCCCGTGACTGATCTTATCTCGCTTTTTATGAGCTTTCTGACTCTATCCTTGCAGTCGAGTTCCCCGCGGGCAGCCTTCCTCCTCATGCTAATACTGGTTGTAGCCGGGAGGTCTTCTCTTCAGCTTCCATCAGGCAGGCCGTTAGTCCACTCCCTCAGTTTGACAGAGATCGCTCCGACGAATCCTGTCGTTTGATACGGGATGGAGGGCGTCATTGCTTACGCCAGCTGATTACGGACGCCTCCTTCACTGCAGATTCTACTTCCACTCAGGCTTTAAAGAAGCCCGGTTTCCTGTTCGGGGATCACACGGAGGATCCTGCTACGTTGACTCTTACCGAGGAGCATTGGCTGAATCTTCATGAGGGAGCTCTCCTGTATATTCCCTCCATTCCTCGTCAGTATTCTTTCACTCATTTGGAGGGGCAGGCCGTGGAGCGACATATGTCTTGGCCTCTTACCGATGATGCTGAGCGAGTTCAGTGTGGATATACCTCTCATCATAAGACTCCTGGTTCTGCTGGGTATCATGATATCCGCGGTCTTCGACCAGGGATTATTGGTCTTGACACTGCACCCCCAGGCGAGGTATCAACATCTGCTCCTACTGTGAAGAATCGTCTGGCTCATCTTGGGAGAAGGTTACCTCCACCAGATTATAGATGCTATGGTTGGGCTTTCTCACAAGCCAAGGGATGGTGGACACGCATGACCAGTTACGTCTTGGGGCGCTGGGAGAAGGATTTGAAGAGCAGAGGATTGTATGCACCTATACGGGCCACCATGTACGGACTTCCGGTCAGCTACCGCTATTTCTTGGCGTTGTTGGAGACATACATGCCCGACAGTAACACGTTCATGACCAGCGGCGGAGAGTTAGGGTTGGCCTTACATGAGATGTATCAGGTTTCTGGTCTTCCAATGGGGGATTGTCCATATCAGGAGTACTTTCCCTCGAACCAGCAGTTGGGGTGGTTGAAGAAGGATACTCCCGACATGCATGATACTCTTTGGGACCTCACTTGTCATTATTATACCTCCTTGATCGAGATTTCTCCTCCAGCGAAGAAGAAAAGGCAAATCAGCTTGAAGAAGTTTGCTGTCTATCTGTTCCCTAATTTGGAGGGCGACTCCGGCGAGCCCCTTCGTGAGTTAGATGTCCTGACCCCTACCGCCGTTAATGAGTTGATGGAGAAGGCTGAGGCTCGTTCTTATACCATTGCCCATGCTGAGGGAGCTTTTCCTGCAGGAACCAAGTTTCGTTCATTCCTCCGCCGTGCACAGAAGTCCATCGAGCCCCGGACTCTGCTAGCAGGCTACCTTGCTCTCTGGTTGAAGAAGTGTGTTGTTCCGTACCGGTCTTTAGACGCCTTACCTCTCGAGGTGCTCTTCCCCGCAGTTCAGCTAGCTTATGGGAGGGAGCTTTCACTGCTCCCAGCGATGGTTGCCGGCATCCATTGCGGGCTTAGGTATCTGGTCAGTGGTTTTACACAGGTGGGTTCTAAACCATCGACCGAGCTTATTTGTCCGAAGGTCGAGCTTCCTTATGCGTATCTGATGGCGTGGCTCGTTCTTCACCGTCCTGACTTGATGTCGACGCCCAGCGTTGTTGATGTCCCCGTTCCTTTCGTGCAGCTGTTGGAGAGGAGCAGATGGCTCGGGAAGAAATTTGGCGATGCACAACGAGATCTTCAAGTTCGCAAGAGCTGGGAGTTCTTCAAGTGTTTTCCCCACTTTTCGGGTCGCTATGGTGATGTGCTGACTGATGAGGAGAAACCCAGAACTAATCGGACTGCTCTCGACGTTGGTTGTTTTCGCTGGTTAGTGAACATCCGTGTTGGGTATCTCGTTCTCCGGGTGAAGAATCATTGCCACATAGAGCCTTACCTTCCCTGCCGTTTTGCTCGTCAGTTCGGTTACGACCAACTATATGTTGGGAATCCGAGACGTGGTTTGAAGGTTGAGGGAGGGCTTATTGATGGCGTACGGGCATGGCTATGGACTATGGTGGGCTGCACCGGAGCCCACTTTGCTCTTCCTTCATATAGGCGCAAGCCGATGATTACTTTCCTCAGTTGTAAGTGGTTCCTCTCCGCCAATGAATCCATAGGTGTGAGGAGTCTTTCAGAGTTAGAGTCTGAGCACTCGGTCCAGGTCGCTATGATGGCTGCTCGTAAAGCCGAGCTTGCTCAGAAACAGAAGAAGAAGTCTGCCAAACCTCCTCTCTCAAGCAAAGACGATGATGAGCTCCTTCCTACTGACGATGATGACGAGGCTTCTGAGGAGGAGTATGTGGATATAGATATTGACCAAGAAGAACTTGATGCAGGTTTGTCATACTCTTTGATCCTCTTTCTCAACTTCAATTGATATCAACGAAAGATCTGGTTCATTTAATGAAATAATCCTTATCATTTCAGGTAGGACAACCGACGACCATGAGTCGCTCACTTCCCGTCGTGCGAGATTCAGGCCTGGTGGCCAAGCTCCTACCCAGGTTGATACACGTGGCCAGTCCACCGTCGTGCGAGATTCAGGCCTGGTGGCCAAGCTCCTACCCAGGTTGATACACGTGGCCAGTCCACGCATGAACGACCCGTTGGTTCTATGAGGGGTGATATTCCGAAAAAGAAAAAGATCGCTCATAAACCACACGTTGGTCAGCGTTCCTATGAAGTGGATTTAGGAGACTTCCCCGACAGGGAGGAAGGTAATACTTCGTCGTTTTCATTGCTTTAAGATGACTTACCTTCTGGAATTCGTAATCATGTTTTATGTTCCAGGGTTCTTTGAAGAGGGCGAACTCCCATTGTCTCCCGTATTCACTGTTTCTGATAATATGGATAGCTTCATGGAGCAGATGTGCGACGCCCTTCGTGACGGTTCTCTGGGTATCGATCTAAACATTGATCTTGGACAGGTGAATAGTGTTGAGCCCACCGTTCCATATTCAGGTATATCTACATCCGATGATACCCTCCTCAAACATGGGGAAAGAGAATCTTCTGTTCTTGCTGCAGGTATTTCTGAACTTTCCCTTCTTCCTTATCTTCTTATACATATCTCCAACATTTAGGTTGTCCTGCAGATGTCGCGATGGAAAAGCCAGCTGAGGATCAGATCTTTCATGATGTGGGCTTCGAGGAACAGAGGTGTGCCTCTGTACCAGGTTCCTCGGGACCCGACGCTGGATTATTAGCCGATATGTTGGCTGAGCAGGCCACCAGAAGAACCGTGGGACCACCCTTTGAGAGTGATTCATTCACAGGTATATATCTGATTCCCTTCATCTTGCCTGATCTTTTGTCTATCCGATTCCCTTCATCTTGCCTGATATTTTGTCTGACTAACGAAGGATTAATATTATAGCGCCAGTCATTGGGATTAACCCAATATCGATTCCCGGCATATCTAGCTTACCTCGGAGTGACGGACTTGCAGGTACGCATACGATTTAGGGACATCGTACTCCTCTTTATTTATCTGACTTTTGACTAATATATGGGTGCAATCATAGGACCAGCCACCGGGACTGATACTCTTATGACTCCTGGCATTCCCCGGATACTTGAGGATGATGGACCTACAGGTATGCAGATGACCTTATCACCCCGATCCTCCTTATTTGTCTAAATTTTTATTTTGACTAATAAAGAAGTGCAACTATAGGCCCAGCCGTTGTGCCTGATGCCACTACAGTTTCTGGGACTGATAGTTTGCCTGAGAGCGGTGTCTTTCCGCCACAGCCGAGAGGTATGATCGATTTGCCTACAGGGGTTGATATATCCTCCATGACTACTCCTGCAGTTACTTCGGAACCTGTCGGATCTCAGCCCGAGGGGACCTCCGTTGGCATTGGTATGCTCGGAATTTGCCCTTAAGTTTTCTTATCATATTTGATAATCTCTTAGCCTTCCACACTGTTACTTGCAGGATCTCGATCATCTCTATATGAGCATGTTCGCGCCCTCTTGGCCGATACCGATCCTGACAGAGACATTTTCCGTACAGACCTCGGCTTTTTTACCGCCTTTTTTAACGGCATGATCGAGAAACTGCTTCATCGAGGATATTGTTTTGATCAGTTCAGGCGTTCCTTTTCTCGTCACATGCTGATGTTTAGGCCGTGAGGAAGTGGCTAGATTGAAGGAGGCCTTGAGGCACGCCGAGGAGTCCGTTACTCTTATTGCAGAAGACCTGGCTGGATTAGAGCGTTCTCGTGAACAGACGCTCGAGAAGCTGGGATCTACACAGGAGAGATTGATGAAGCTGAAGAATGAAGCCGCGAAGATCTTAAGCAGTTCCGAAGACTCTGTCCGAGCTAGTCTGCAGGCAGAACTTGAGCAGAGCTATGTAGACAGGCTTTCTAGTTTAGAGTCCCATGTTCTTAGCCGTCAGTTGCCTTCGGGCTAACGAGCTTTTTATTATATGCTTTTGACTTGATCTATTACTAGAAACTCCGCATTTGCTTCTTTCATGATATTTCTTTATTTACTTTGAACCCAACAATGATAAAATTTATAGGATTTTTGGCAAACCCTCAGCCCTCAACGGGTTTGATGTGCCTTTACCGACTACCGTTTGAATCGGGCTAGCATGTGAATTGTCTAGATCCGTTCCACATGTAACGTTGTGCTAAGAGAATAAATTCTCTGAGACTTTGTGCTATGTTGTCGAATACATAGACTTCACCCTTTCTTATAGGGAAAAGGTACCCCGCACCGCGTATTAGGCGATGACTTATCCCTTCTTAGGCTTCGGGATAAAATTCCCCAGACTGGATTCTGGTGTCTTTTTCAATCGGTGAAAGACTAAACCGGCAACGCGTGTTAGGCGTAGGCTTATCTCTATTTAGGAGTTGAGATAAAATTCCCCGTGCACAAAGTGCCCGGATTGGAAGTTGAGAATTGTGTCTTTTCTAAGAACAAAGACAGACTGGGAAATGGGAGAGGAAGAATTTTATATTCTATCTCCCGGGACTGAAGAGGAAGAGTTTTATATTCTATCTACAGTCGGAAAAGAAACTCAAGGTGGGATCTCCACCCCCAGAATCCGAAAAGATGAAGGGATCTCCACTCCGAGAATCGGAAAAGTTCGAACGACCCTAACTTTTATAGGATTGGTAATTTGAATCAAAAGAATCCCTCATTCATTGAGGAGAAAGCCCAATTTCGACCCTAACTTTTATAGGTTTGGTGGGAAAAGGAACAAAGGCGGATTTTCGTTTATCGAAAAGGAATGACTCGGTCTTGGCCCTAACTATTTGTAGGCTTGACTAAGTGAGATCGGGAATAATCCTAACTTTTATAGGTTTGACTGTTCAAATCGAAAGTGGACCTCTCGTTCATGGAAGGAATCGAGAGAGGAATTTGGCTTTGGCCCTAACTTTTATAGGTTTGACCTGAAAGCAAAGAAAGTGGAATACAGGTAGCAAAGAAAGTGCCAACTCGTATTATCACTTAAAGGAAGACTTTAACGCTAGGTGATTAGGACCTAACATGTTGAGTCTGAGAAATGCCAACGACGGGCAGATGGAAATGTTGGTGGATCCACCGTCGTTTCAATTGATCAGCGGGTGGTTTGGTGAGGAAAGATTAACCTATCAGAGGATTGGATCTCATCTCACAAAAATAACTCATAAGAGTTAGAGAATTTGACAATAAGAAGGAACATTCCGATATTCGGAGTTCGAACGTGGATTTCTTATTCATCAATACTACAATGATTGGGTTATCCCTAAGAATACCCCATGTGGTATTCTTCTGGGAACTTCCCAATACATTGGTTATCCTGAAGATACTAAGGATAGTATTTTTTCAGGAACTTGCCGTTTATCGGCATCATAAGCCGGTCACCGTCCTTGGTGACTAAGCGATATGCGCCACTTGAGTAAACTGTCTCTACTACGAATGGCCCTTCCCATTTGGGTTCAAATTTGCCCTTCTTCTTGGAGTTAAGGATCATAGGTCGTCTTTCAGTTAGAACCAAATCCCCTTATTTGAAGCTTCGTTGTCGAACCTTCTTGTCGAAAGCTCGAGAGATTCTGGCTTGGTAGAATTCGATATGTTGTTGAGCTTCTAAACGCTTCTCATCTAGACTTTCTAATTCTTCAAGGCGCTTCTGATGTTGTTCTTCGGTCGTCATCTGGGTTGCAAGAGCGATCCGAAGAGACGGAATTTGGATTTCCAAAGGAAGAACGGCTTCACATCCGTACACCAATGAATATGGGGTTGTGCCGGTCTGTGTACGCACCGTGGTACGATAGGCCCATAGAGCCGCGCCGAGCTTGTCATCCCAATCCCGCTTGTTATTTGATGATAGTCTTGTTGAAGGCTTCAGCTAATCCATTTGCTGTGGGATTATAAGCCGTTGACGAGATATCCTGGATTTTAGACTTTTCGCAGAACCTTATGAAGGCGTTGCTGACAAACTGAGGACCGTTGTCATGTATGATTCGTCTTGGAACACCATACCTGTAAATGATATGGTGCTTGATGAATGCAATGACGTTACTCGTTTTAACTTCTCTGAGTGGAACTACTTCAGCCCATTTGGAGAGGTAATCGGTAATTGCCAGGATGAACCGGTCACCTTTGACTGATGGGGGATTTATAGGGCCAACAATGTCCATTCCCCAAGTCTCGAACGGCCATGACGTAATCGAAGGATGCAGATGCTCCGGAGGTTGGTGCATATAATTCGCATGTACTTGACATGCGTGACACTTTCGGGCATATGCGATTGCATCGCTCATCATGAAAGGCCAAAAATATCCCATTCTTCTGATGCGGTCATAAAGCTTAGGACCAGGTTGGTGCGCGCCACACTCTCCTTCATGCGCCTCCCTAAGGACCTCTTCAGCTTCCTTGGTTGATAGGCAACGCAATAGCAACCCATCGTACCCCCAAAGCGGTATTAGGAGTTGGTGCGTTCTTACCGTAACAAACTGCTCTGCTTCGGGAGGTTGTGCCAGAGATACGGCCAATGCTGCTAACGCATCTGCATAGGTATTCTGTAGTCGTGGAATATGTTCGATAAAGAATCCTTCGAATGATTCTGCCATCTCTACTGCCATCTTATGGTATGGTATTAAATCCGGGCTTCGGACCTCGTACTCTCCCTGAACTTGTTTAACTATCAGTTGAGAATCGCCGAAGGCTTCGAGGTACTCAACCCCCAGTTCTTTGGCGAAACTGAGTCCTATGAGTAATGCATTATATTCGGCTACATTATTTGAGCACGGTTCCGTCAACGAGTAAGCTCGAGGCATCACGTGCTTTCCTGAGGAAACTAAGACAACTCCGACTCCGGAAGAAATCTTAGAACCTCCAGGAGTGCTCGCTACATTAGCTGCTCGTGAAGCGCCGTCGAAATACAAACGCCATACTTGCTGGTGCGAAGTTGCGTTTACTTCGTGGGTTTCATCGGGTAGATCGTCATATATCTCAGCGGTGTCCGTAGTTGGATTAGCTGCCAGGAGATCACAGATGGCCTGCCCTTTTACTGACTTCTGTTGTTTAAAATGTAAGTCGTATTGGGACAAGAGTAAGGCCCATTTTGCTAATCGCCAGCTCATGGAAGCTGGTTGAGTCATGAATACTCGAACCGGATTAACTTTAGAGATAACATAAATGGTCTGCCCGACCAGATAATGCCGCATCTTCTGAATAGCAAACACCAAGGCGAGGCATTCTCTCTCAATCATAGGATATCAAGATTCGGCACCTACCATGGTTCGGTTCAAATAATATACTGCCTGCTCATGACCGTTATCGTCATCTTGTGCAAGTAATGCACTTAATGAGTGGCTTGTCGCCTTGACATAAATCAAGAACGGTTTGCCTGATTTCAGTGCGACGAGTACAGGAGGTTTTGAGAGATATTCTTTAATACTCTCGAATGCCTTTTGACAAGCGTCGTCCCATACGAATGACACACCCTTCTTCGTGAGTTTGGAGAATGGTTGGCATTTTCCTGAGAGGTTCGAGATGAACCGGCGGATATAAGCTAATCGTCCTTGCAATCCTCTGAGCTCCTTGAGGTTTCTTGGCGGTTGCAATTCATTAATCGCCTTTACTTTATCAGGATCGATGTGAATACCTTTGGTGGTGACGACGAATCCCAGGAATTTACCACTAGACATTCCGAGGAAAGACTTGGTAGGATTCATCTTCAATTGATGGGCTCGCATCAAGTCGAACATGGTCTTCAAGTCCTTAATGTGATCCTTTTTATCACGACTTTTCACGACCAGATCGTCTACGTAGCATTCAACAGTCTTTCGGAGATGATCCTGAAAGATCTTTGACATAGCTCGTTGATATGTAGCACCTGCGTTCTTTAAGCCGAAGGGCATAACTGTGTAACAGAAGACACCGAGGGGCGTTCTGAATGCGGTGTGCTTTTCATCATCTGGATGCATCTTTATTTGGTTATAACCAGAGAAACCATCCATGAAAGACATCCTCTCGAACCCGCACGTATTGTCGATGATAACATCCGTGATGGGAAGGGGAAAATCGTCTTTTGGGCATGCAGCGTTGAGGTCTCGAAAATCGATACAAATCCTGACCTTCCCGTTCTTCTTAAGGACTGGGACAATATTAGCAAGCTACTCCGGATGTTGTTCTTCCCGAACGAAGCCCGAGTCAATAAGCTTTTTAACTTCGGTCTCGATTGCTTCCATCATTTGCGGAAACGAAGCCCGAGTCAATAAGCTTTTTAACTTCGGTCTCGATTGCTTCCATCATTTGCGGACGAAACCATCTTTGTTGTTGTTTGACAGGTTTGACATCCGTCTTGATATTGAGATGATGCACTGCTACATTTGGATCGAGCCCTGGCATGTCTTCATAATTCCAGGCAAACACATCGATGTACTCCCTGATAAGAGAGATTAACTCCTCTTTCTCTTCAGGCGGGAGGCTGTCGCTAATGAATATAGACTTCGGATTATCTTCGCTACCCATATTCACCTGGAGTACTTGATCTTCGGTAGGAGGTTCTCTTTGTTCGAACCTATCACCGTACTGCATGTTCAGGTGATGAACCCAAGGATCTTCCCATGTCGGCATCTGGTCGTCCTCCTCTATTGTGGTAGGATCGACCGTAACCATGTTCGACATCAACT